ATGAGCTCTAATAAATTAGAACTCCTAGTGGCACCTTTCTTATTCACTGATGTCATTTTACCTTTAAGGCATTTGACACATGTTCCAAAATCATTGAAATCGAGAGATGGTAACACTTCATTCTTCACGAGTCTAGATAAACGTTCTCGTGAAATGTGGCCTAAGCGTTGATGCCACAACATGGATGAAGTTTCTAAGTCTCGTTTTCGTTTTCTCTTTGTTAGTGTCTGATTGATATTATATGACAACAAAGATTTGGAAAAATCATCATCTAGTTCTAATTTATAGAGACCACCATCCAGAAAACCATGACCAAACACTTGAGAATTGAAACTAATAGTAAGTCTGCCATGACCATGAGAAACATCAAAACCGTCTATGTCTAACTTTGGTCCTGATACTAAATTCCGAGTAATCTCAGGAATATATAAGGTATCATAAAGTTTAATACATAAACCAGTTTTTATTATTAATTCTAAGGTTCCCACGGCTTCAACAGCTAGTTCTGTTCCATTCCCTAGCTTAAGTGTTCTTCGGTTTCTTTCCAGCTTCTGGATTGTAAGGAATCCCTGAAGTGAGTTGGTTACATGAACCATAGAACCAGAGTCAAACCACCATGTATTAGTTGGAACATTTAAATTAAAGGACTCGAGTATCATGTAAAGATGATTACCTTTCTTCGTCAGCCACTCCTTAAAGTCTTGGCAGTCTTTCTGTCTATGTCCTTCCTTGCGGCAGAACTTGCAGTAAGACTTCCCTTTAGAGTTCTTAGAGCTGGAAGAAGCACTTGCATCACGTTTCTGGACTTTAGAAACATCCTTCTTATCGACATTGCCCTTCCTCTTCTTTGGATTAGCGGTCATGAGGTAAGCCACATCAGGTTTGTCCAGCTTCAGACGCTCTTCTTCTTGTACGCACATAGCAATCAACTCATTCATCGACCACTTGACCTTCTGGGTGTTGTAGTTGACCTTGAAAGCTTCAAAAGATGCAGGAAGAGAAGTCATTAT